TCAATTCATCTGAATTAATTTATTTGGAATTGAAAACATTGCCTTTCTCTGCTGCTCTGCTGGGTTTTTTTGTTTGTTTTTTGTTTTTTTATGAATCAAGTATTTGTATATGCATGGGTCTGTTTCTGGCTCTTTATTCTGCTCCACTGGTCTTTGTTTATTCTTGTTTCATGAAAGCACCCTGCCTCAACTACTAAAGCTTTATAGTAAGTTTGTTGTTGATAGAACAAGACCCTCACCTTTTTGTTGTTGTTGTTGTTTGTTTTGTTTGTTTGTTTTGAGAGTATCTCAGCTATTTCCTGGCTCTTTGTAGTTCCACATGAATTTTAGAATCATTGTGTCAAGTTCTACAAAAACACCTATTGGAACTGTATAAAATCTATAAATCAATTTGGAAAGAACTGACATTTTTACTATATCCTTGTATTAGTCCATTTTCACACTGCTATAAAGATACTACCTGAGACTGGGTAATTTATGAACAAAAGAGGTTTAATTGACTCAGTTCCACATGGCTGGAGACTCCTCAGGAAACTTACGATCATGGCAGAAGATGAAGGGGAAGCAAGGAACATCTTACATGGTGGCAGGAGAGAGAGAGCATGCAGGGGAAACTGCCACTTTTAAACTATCAGATATCATGAGAACTCTTTCACTATCACAAAAGCAGCATGGGGGAAACTGCTCCCATGATCCAATTACCTCCCACTAAGACCTTCCCTCGACAGTGGGAATTACAATTGGATATGAGATTTGGGTGGGACACAGAGCCAAACCACATCAATCATCTTTCAATTAATGAACATGGTTTGTATCTCCTATTAGATTGCCTCTATTTTCTCGAATGTCTTCTAGTTTTCTGAGTGGAGATCTTGCACATCTTTGATTACATTTCTTCCTAGAGATGTGACCTATTTTAGCCATGTTGTAGGTGCCATTTTTTTTTTTTTTTTTTTTTGAGGTAGGGTCTAACTCTGTCACCCAGGCTGGAGTGCAGTGGCACAATCATGACTTACTTCAGCCTCCACCTCCCAGGCTTAAGTAATCTTCCCACCTCAGCCTCCCGAGTAGCTGGAACCACAGGCATGTGTCACCACCACCCGGCTATTTTTTTTATTTTTGTAGAGATGTGGTCTCACTATGTTGCCCGGGCTGATATGTGGCATTTTTTAAATCATTTTTAACTGTTACTGGTAAGCACTAAGTTTTTAATTTCCTCTTAATTTAAATATTAAAAGTTTGTATCATGCATGGCCAGGCGCGGTGGCTCATGCCTGTAATCCCAGCACTTCGGGAGGTCGAGGCAGATGGATCACCTGAGGTTGGGAGTTCAAGACCAGCCTGGACAACATTGTGAAACCCCGTCTCTACTAAAAATACAAAAATTTCAAGCGTGTCTTTTGCAAATATTTCCTTCCAGTCTGTGGTTTGTCTTCTCATTCTCTTGACATTGTCTTACTCAGAACAGATATTTTTAATTTTAATGAAATTCAGCTTATCAATTATTTCTCTGATGGATCATACCTTTGGTGTTGTATCTAAAATATCATTGCCATTGCCATACCCAAAGTTATTTAAGGTTTCTCCTGTCATTTTCTAGGAGTTTTACAGTTTTGCATTTTACATTTAGGTTTATGATCCATTTTGAGTTAATTTTTGTGAATGGTATAAGGTCTGTGTCTCAGTTAATTTTCTGGCATGTGGACGTCTAGTTGTTCCAACACCATTTGTTGAAAAGAACAATATTTGCTCCATTGTATTGCCTTTGCTTCTTTGTCAAAGACCAGTTGACCATATTTATGTGGGCCTATTTCTAGGCTCTTTATTCTGCTTCATTGATCTATTTGCTCACCGATACTACACTATCTTGATTACTTTGGCTTTATAGTGAGCATTAAAGTTAGGTAGTGTCAGTCCTCCAATTCTATGTCCTTCTTCAATATCGTGTTGGTTATTCTTGGTCTTTTGCCTGTCCATATAAACTTTAGAATTAGTTTGTTGATATTCAGAAACTCACCGGCTAGGATTTTTATTGGAATTGCATTTAATCTATAGACCAATTTGGGAAGAGGTGACATCTTGATAATACTGAGTCTTCCTATCCATGGACATGGAAAAATCTCTACATTTATTTAGTTCTTTTTAGATTTCTTTCATTGGAATTTTTTAGTTTTCCTTATATATATCTTGTACATATTCTGTTAGATTTATATCTAAGTGTTTAACTTTAGGAAATGTTAATATATATGGTATCATGTTTTTTATTTAAAATTCCACTTGTTTATTGCTCATACATAGGAAAATAATTGATTTTTTATATATTAACATTGTATTCTGCAATCTTGCTGTAATAGCTTATTAGTTCCGGGATTTTTTTTTTTTTTTTTTTTTGCTGATTCCTTCAGATTTTCTATGTAGATGATAGTGTCATCTGCAAACAAAGACAGTTTTAGTTCTTACTTCCCAATTTATATGCCATTTCATTCCTTGTCTTGAATACAGAAAGAATCAAGACTTAATATTTTATACTTGAGCCACATTCCTGTCTTAGGAATTCCAAAATGTGACCCTTCCCTTATTTCAACCTTGGCAGATAACTGGGATTGATGACAATATTTCATAATAGCTTAAGGTCTGTATCACACTAATCTCCATTCTCCAAATTCAGAATCCTTTTGATTATATTTATAAATTTACATATCTGCAGTTAAAACTGGTTCAGAACCAAATGATCAAGACTTTTACCAAGTTTTTTCTATCTCATACAATATGAATATTCAATGTATGTGGTAAATAAATATGATGAGTAAAAAGTATAATGTATAATGTTTTGTATATTTTAATACTTTCTTGACTTAACCCACTTTATATGATCAGTCATTTTATGTTTTGTCCCAATAATTCTCCTTGGACCATTCTGATTTTACAGTGATGTAGAATGTCCCTCTATAGCCTTATGGAATTTTAATCAAATAGCTTTTGCTCAGAACTTAAAAAGACATTTGTCCTTGGGACTAAAATTAGCCATGAAAAAGATTAAAAACAAAGTAAATTTAGAATATAATCAGTACTTTCAAAATGAGCTCAATCTGTACTTCATCTTCATTTATAACACTTGCTTCTTCTTAGCGTCTAATAGAATAAGCAATAGTTGTGCAAAGAATGTATTTACATTTCTGAGGTTCCAAAAACAGGTGAACCTCACAAGCCCATGCTCTTTTGTGTTTTGCAATGTCACAGGCTGCCTTGGTTGGAATGATTCACATAATGATCACTCTCTGAATAGGAAAAAATTCAAAGTTCTATACATTTTCAACAGATGTTCTATACATTTTCAACAGATGTCCTATTCCTGCATATTTTTCAGTTATTAAGTATAGTACCTTTTTTCCTACTCTGGTAAATGGATCTGTTTGGATACCACGTTTCTTTCAAACACTATTTTCAAAAAGGACCTCAGCAGTGCTTAAAGACTCCTGTTATGGTTTGAGTGTGTCACTCAAAAGTTCATGTGTTAGAAATTTAATCCCCAATGCAATAGCTTTGGGAGGTAATAAGAGGTGATTGAGTCATAAGTGTGGAACCTTCACAAATAGATTAATAATATAAGCAGGTTAGTTATCTCAAGAGGAGGCTGTTACAAAGCAAGTTCAGTTTCAGTATCTCTCTCTGTTGCAAGTGCTCTCTTCCACCTTTCACCCTCTGCGATAAGATGATCATCTTATTGCATCCTCACCAGATGCTGGTACCGTGTTCTTGGACTTCTTGTCCTCCAATAACCATGAGCCAAATAAACTTCTATCATTTATAATTTACCCCAACTTCTATCATTTATAATTTACCCAGTCTGTGGTATTGTGTTGTAGAAGCAGAAAATGACTAAGACAACTCCACTACCTGGCCAAGAGGAACCTCAAGTATCACACAATTAGCAAAGGGATGTCCAAAGCTAATTAAGTGCCAATATACTTGAGAGATATTTTTAAAATGCAGAAATTATAGTTTGTTGGACTAAACCAGGCAAGGCACCCAATGGGGAAGTCTTTCTGAGACATTTTAGCTTTAAGTACTTGTTTTGATGATTTGGAAAGGCCTGGATGGAAATATAACTAATATTTATCAGGGTATTATGTGGGTTATTGCTGACATCTGAAGTTGAGGTTAATAATTCAACTGATTATCAATTAGGTTCCAAGAATTTGGATAAAATATTTACCAATTAATATATACAGATGGATAGACTTAATAACAAGTCCTGATATTTTTCCACATCCCCACTTATACTTTCTCAAATGTACTTAGCTCCTGGCAGCTCCTTGATGGTGTTTGGGGCTAAATGGTTCTTTCTCCATGCACTGTGCTTTTCCATTCCCCACCTCGCCTGCCTGTCAAACCAGCTTGGAGGAAACTTGTTTTACTGAGCTCTCTTCAGACATACAACACTCCCTCCCTCACCAGACACCCAAAAAATCTTTCTTTGTGCTGATTACTTATTTCTATAGTTGCAGTCACTTTATAAACTGAAATTAATTTTTTTGATTTTGGGCTTATCATAGGGCCTGGCTTACAGTAAACACTCAGAAAATGCAATAACCACAAGTAGGGAATAGGGAAGGATTTCGTCAATTTCTTCCTGCTCTGAAGGAACTTCTAAGCTCCTGAAAGCCAGAAACCAAACAAGAAACAAAGCGAAATTCTCAGGAGCACCTTTTTGCTGAAAAGAGAACTCCAAATACCCAAAATGTAGTCAAATATTCATATCCATATCCTTTCAGCAGTAGGCAGTTATATATAATTTTAGGAATACTAAATAGAGAATAGGATCATAATTTCAGCTGGTCACTGACATTTAGCTCTTCTTCCTGCTGACATTTACAAAAGAAAATACAGAGGGTTAAAGTCTATGATGTCTTTCAGGGTCTACAATACATCTTTCTTCTAAGGGCACTCTTGTCTATTTATAGTGATATATCCAGGTGCAAATTACAAAGAGATCTTACTGTTTACACTCAGGCTGATGCTGTCCTGCTCTAAAAGAAAATCGGCTGCATGCGGACTTGTCCAGTTGTTTTTTCCGGTAACTGCCTATGTATGTTGTCATGGAAGAATCTGACCATCGTGTTTCATCCTGCCAAGACGCTCCAGCTTTGCGTCTGATCAGATCAAACTCTTGAGAAGTAAGAGGGCTAAAGGGCAGAAGAATTTGTGGAGTCAAGTAGAAGAAGTGTGACATAACTACGAATGGCCTGCTCTGGATGAAAACTTGTCAAGTCCTCTGCATAATGAAGAATTAATTTCCTTCTAGTAGCAGGAAGCAATTGACTGGGCTCACCAAACTTTGTGACTCAACAGTTCACAGAGTGCAGAAGCTTAACTGTCTTAGATATAGTTGCCAAGCAACAGATCACAAAATTCCACAAATGCTACCCCCTTGCCTCCCGAGGGAGGCAAATTTTAACTAATATATTTGTAAGTTATATAACTTTCTGGATTTTGCTCTAAGAAATATGCTGCTTCATAATTCTGGCAAGAAAGCAGGTGGCAAAATTATTTGTATTTTACTACTATCACAAATAAAGCAGTAATTCCTAATGATGGTAGTTCAAGAAGTGGAAATGAGATGAAAGAACAGTGCCAAGCATTCACTTCTCCTAAAGACCTCCAAGTGTCTGGAAGAGAACATGAACTGCCTGTAATGTCAACAATAGCAGGTGACTCAACAGCTTCTCATGTGTCAAAGTGTAGTGGTGCTCTGGCTGGCTGCACACTAGAGTCACCCTGGAAGCTGTTAAAATAAGCAGGACTCCAGGCCCCCACCACAGAGATTCTGATTTAGTTGATGTGGAGTAGGGCCCAGGCATCACTATTTGTTTAACGCTTAATCCTGGAGGATTCTAAAGAGCAGCCAGGGTTAAGAATTAAGGTCATAGACGCAGAAAAAACTTTTGACAAAATCCAGCATCGCTTTAGGATTAAAACTTGAGGCAAAATTGGCAAGAAGGGACATACCTTAAAATATTAAAAGCCATCTATGAAAAACCCACAGCCAACATTACACTGAATGGGGAAAAGTTGAAAGCATTCCTCCTGAGAACTGGAAAAAGAAAAGGATGCCCACTTTCACTACTTCTATTCAACATAGTACTGGAAGGCCTAGCCAGAGCAATCAGACAAGAGAAAGAAATAAAGGACATCCAGATCAGTAAGGAGGAAGTCAAACAGTTGCTGTTCACTGATGACATGATCATATACCTAGAAAACCCTAAAGACTTATCCAAAAAGCTTCTAGATCTAATAAATGAATTCAGTAAAGTTTCAGGATACAAAATCAATGTACGCAAATCAGTAGCACTGTTATACACCAACAGCAACCAAGCTGAGAATCAAATCAAGAACTCAACACTTTTTATAACAGTTGCAAAAATAAATAAATAAATAAAATACTTAGGAATACACCTAACAAAGGAGACAGAAGATCTCTACAAGGAGGATGGGCACGGTGGCTCACGCCTGTAACCCAGCACGTTGGGAGGTCAAGGTAGGCAGATCACAAGGTCAGGAGATCGAGACCATCCTGACTAACACAGTGAAACCCCATCTCTACTAAAATATACAAAAAATTAGCCGGGCGTGGTGATGGGCACCTGTAGTCCCAGGTACTCAGGAGACTGAGGCAGGAGAATGGCGTGAACCTGAGAGGTGGAGCTTGCAGTTAGCCGAGATCGCACCACTGCACTCCAGCCTGGGTGACAGAGTGAGACTCCACCTCAAAAAAAGAAAAAAAAAAGATCTCTACAAGGAAAACTACAAAACACTGTTGAAATAAGTCATATATAACACAAACAAATGGGAAAACATCCCTTGCTCATGGATGGGTGGAATTAATATTGTGAAAATGACCATATTGACAAAAACAATCTATAAATTCAATGCAATTTCCATCAAAATGCCATCATCATTCTTCACAGAAGTAGAAAAACAATCCTAAAATTCATATGGAATAAAAAAAAGTCTGTGTAACCAAAGCAAGACTAAGCAAAATGAACAAATCAGGAAGCATCACATTACCCATCTTAAAAGTATACTACAAGGCTATACTTACTAAAACAGCATGGTACTGGTATAAAAATAGCCACATAGACCAATGGAACAGAATAGAGAACCCAGAAATAAAGCCAAATTCTTATATCCAACTGATCTTCAACAAAGCAAACAAAAACATAAAGTGGGGAAAGGACACCCTATTCAACAAATGGTGCTGGGATAACTGGAAAGCCACATGTAGAAGAATGAAACTAGATTTTCATCTCTCACCTTATAAAAAAATCGACTCAAGATGGATCAAAGATTTAAATTTAAGACCTGAAACCATAACAATTCTAGAAGATAACATAGGAAAAACTCTTCTAGACATTGGCTTAGGCATAGACTTCATGACCAAGAACTCAAAAGCAAATGCAACAGAAACAAAGTTAAGCAGATGGGACCAAATGAAACTAAAAAGCTTCTGCACAGCAAAAGATATAATCAGCAGAGTAAACAGACAACCCACAGAGTGGGAGAAAATATTTGCAAACCATGCAAAGTTTTCAACAAAGTCCTTTGTTCTAGACAAAGGACTATCCAGAATCGACAAGGAGCTCAAACAAATCAGCAAGAAAAAAACAAATAATCCCAGCAAAAAGTAGACTGAGCATAAGAATAAACAATTCTCAAAAGGAGACATACAAATGGTCAACAAACATATGAAAAAATGCTCAACATCACTAATTATCAGAGAAAGGCAAATCAAAGTGAGGTATCACCTTACTCCTGCAAGAATGGCCATAACTTAAAATCAAAAAATAATAGATGTTGGCATGGATGTGGTGAAAAAGGAACACTTTTATACTGCTGGTAGGAATGTAAACTAGTACAACCACTATGGAAAACAGTATGGAGATTCCTTAACTAAAAGTAGAACTACCATTTGATCCAGAAATCCCAGTATTGGGTATCTACCCAGAGGAAAAGAAATCATTATATGAAAACGACACGTGCACACGCATGTTTATAGCAGCACAATTTGCAATTGCAAAAATATGGAACCAGTCTACATGCCCATTAACCAAAGAGTAGATAAAGAAAATGTGGTGTATATAGATACCAGGGAATACTACCCAGCCATAAAAAAGAACGAAGTAATGGCATTTACTGCAACCTGGATGGAGTTGGAGGCCATTATTCTAAGTGAACTAACTAGGAATGGAAAACCAAACATCGTATGTTCTCACTCATAAGTGGGAGCTAACCTACGAGGACGCAAAAACATAAGAATTATATAATGGACTTTGGGGACTCTGGGGCAATGGTGGGAGGCAGGTGAGGGATAAAAGATGATACATTGGGCACAGTGTATACTGCTCAGGTGATGAGTGCACCAAAATCTCGGAAATCACCACTAAAGAACTTATCCACGTAACCAAAAACCACCTGTTCCCCGAAAAACTACTGAAATGCTTAAAAAGCACATTTCCTCTTTAAAAAGAGAGAGAGAGAGAATTAAGGTCATGGAAATGCCGCCGTGAACTTTTTTACGTTGAGAAGTCATAGCATTTGATCTTCTATTCACTTGAATCCCTCCATCCTTCACTAATAATTACTGTAAATCTGATTATTATGTTTACCCATCTTCACTTCTCTAGATTAAAAAGCAATTCAGTGGCAAATCAAAATGAAATTACTCTCTCAACGTTTGTTTTTTTTTTTTGAGCCAGAGCAGAGGCGCAATCTTGCCTCACTGCAAGCTCCACCTCTCGGGTTCACACTACTCACTTACCTCAGCCTCCTGAGTAGCTGGGACTACAGGCGCCCGCCACCGCGCCGGGCTAATTTTTTGTATTTTTAGTAGAGACGGGGTTTCACCGTGTTAGCCAGAATGGTCTTGATCTCCTGACCTCGTGATCCGCCTGCCTTGGCCTCCCAAAGTGCTGGGATTACAGGTGTGAGCCACCGCGCACGGCTGTTTGTTCCTTTTTAAAATTAACTGTTGGTGCAGTAGTTCTCAACCCCCATTGCTCATTCAAGTAACGCTCAGTATTCTTTATAGACACAGATGCCATGTACATTCCCCGCTTCACTCCAATCAGAAGTGCCAATTAGCAACTCTGCAAGTGGAGCTATCATTAAGTGCTGAAAAAAAGAATTTCGATAGAGGATTTAATCAGCACCAATAGGGCCCATTAAACTGGCAGAACTCTCAGCTCTATCTTCAGAGACTGTAGGTCTGAGGTAAAGCCCCGAGATCTGCATTTTTATATTGTTACATGATTCTGCTGCAACTGGTCTTTGAATGCAGGTGACAGACACTGCTCCAGGGATTGAATTTAAAGTCTTTTAAAGTCAGGCTGACACACTATATGATATGTTTCTCTGAGAATGAGATTATTTGCAAATACTTGTTAGTATGTTTCCTTATGGTTTCTTCCTTAAAATGTTGAAATTTGGAACATAAGCACATTTGCCCTAGAAAAAGAATTAGGCAGATGTTGGCAGGCTTAGCTGCTTTTTATTATGGAGTTGAAGACTTTTTGGAGAAATCCAGATTAGATAAAAAGATGACAGAAGCCAGGGGTGGTCACACACCTGTAGTCCCAGTTACTTAGGAGGCTGAGATGGGAGGATCACTTGAGCCTAAGAGTTTGAGTCCAGCCTGGGCAACAGAGTAAAACCCTATCTCTATTTTTTTAAAAAAGACCATGAAGATAAAGAGTGAAGGAGAGAAAGAAACACTGGGCTGTCCAGGTCTTTCTAACTCATTCGTTATCAGGTAGTGGCTGCTTGAGGAGAACTCTGCCAGCAGTATGTATTGTTTTGACACAGGAAAATAAATAGACAAAATTGTGAAGATTATTTGTAAAAAAAATTTAAAAATTTTCTTCTCAAAGTATGTGTTCATCTATAAATGAATATGGAATAAAATAAGGTCTTTTAAAAATGCATTATAGTATCAGTGTGCTTTGTTATCACTTTCCTGCCTCTATAATATTTTACTTTTCCCATAATCAGTTATGATATCATTTCAACAATTATAACCTCAAAAACCAAAAGTAGCCAAACTTAAGGAAAAATGTCTACTCTTGGGTTTAGATGGAATTATGACTTAGTTCAGCAGTCCACTAGATGTTGAACAAATCCGTTAAAAATAAATTGGACTGGCTGGTCGCGGTGGCTCACACCTGTAATCCTAGCACT